GCGGTGCCTTTGATTGCCAAAAAGAATGTCAATATTTCATTCATCTGACAGAACAGTTTTCCACTATGCAACAGAGCATTTTGGCCCAGAGAAGATGGCAGCGTTTCTGGATCATGCTCAGGTATGGCTTCTTTATTGCATGATAGAGCTTCAGCTTGCATTTTTGGATGGCATGGCAAACTGTTTTCACAGACCGTAATTTTTGGAAGTATTCCATAACCCATGCAGTAATGTCCATCACAGAATCATGGCTGTTTTTTTAACGCAGGGCAGTCTGAAGGCCCGAAAATCATGGGCATCCCAATATTGCTTGTCCCTTGCATACAGAAATTTCTCCAGATTCTTGGAATCTTTTGATGATATTATGTATTGTAGATAATGATATACAGTATTTAAAGCCTTTGCAATTTTATGTTTTATAAAATTTTCGACAATGTTTAGACACAGCTTTTCACAGATTGTTGAACCTCTGCCCATCTTTACTTCTGAGACAGTCTGACTCTCTAAGAGGCCCTTTTTATACCCAGTCATGTTACTGACCTGTTGCCAGTTAACCTAATTAGTTGCAAACTGTTCTTCCAGCTCTTCCTTTTTTGTTGCCCTGTCCTAACTATTTTGATATGTGTTGCCGCCATCCGTTTTATAATTACCATATTTTTTTTCTTGAAATGGTACTTTCTCATTTTAGACATTCGGTATATTTTCTGTTTTCCACTGTGAATAAAATATGTGTTTATTATATTTGCAAATCATTGCATTCTATTATGTAGATTTTACACAGCATCCCAACCTTTTTTGGAATCGGAGTTGTATAAATACATAAATGGTCCATGTAATAAATTTGGTGCTAAGCTACTAATTATAGTTAATTATAACTGCAGATGACAAGGGGGCACTCTTTATGCCTTGGGGGGAAAAGTGGTTTTACTGCCACATATGCAGTCTTCCTTAGGGCTGGTTCATACCAGCCACTACATTGTAGCGCAGTGGCTGGTGTGCAGTGCAATCCACTGAGCTCAGCACAGTGATGATCCACTGAGTAGTAAAAATGCACCACTTCCTTTTTTTTTTTTTTTTTTTTTAACAATCTTTATTGAGATGTCACAAGGACATCTCATAAAGTTCATTTGCTTGGTGCAAGGCAGTGGATTCCATTGCATGAAGTACGTTTTACCAGAAACAGCACACTATGCCCACACACCATCGCAGCACAGTGGTGTAATCCAGACACGTAGGAGACAAGGGATTTTGCCTTCTCCACGTGGTGGGACTGTGCTGGGATAGCCACCCAAAGCTGTACCAATGCATCTGGTGTTAACCAGCCCATGTAACAAAAAAGCTGTCTATACACTGTTAGAATTTCAGCCAGTTACTGATAAACCGTCCGAAATCGGCTTTGTGATTGGCCCTGTCAGCCTCCTCCTACCCAACAGCCTTCAGTGAAAAAGCCTTTTCTGCAAGCTAAATTATTGCCTGTTCAGAACCATAATACCATTCACATATTACCAAAAGTGAAATACAAATATAGTGAAACCTTATGTACACCTGCACAATATAGGTATGTTGCAATAATTTTGTAGCTGCCCCTTTATATATAGTTTTTACTTTCACATGCTCAGTTTAGTGCAGGGGTGTCAAACTGGCGGCCCTCCAGCTGTGGCGAAACTTCAAGTCCCATTATGCCTCTGCCTTTGGGAGTCATGCTTGTAACTGTCACTCTTGCAATGCCTCATGGGACTTGTAGTTCGGCAACAACAAGGCTAGAAAGTTTTTTTTTTCTTTGGGAGGGTGTATGTGATCACCACAGGGCCAATCAGCACTGTGCAGACAGAGGGTCAGGGGTTATGAAGCCTCATAGGACAATCAGAGCAAAATTAAAATTCCTCCTACAAGCTTTAATCAGTGCTCCGCTGGACACTGCGTAAAGTCACAAGAATGCTATATACTGCAGCTGAGAAAAGGTATTTAGCAGTTTATATTTACTACAGTATTTGCATTTCCACCTTCTGTGTACTGTGGGAGACCAGATATAGTGAATGCAGAGTCCTGGGTTTAGTAACACTAAGCCCCACAGTGAAGATTTTTGTATATCGTGGACAGGTAAGCAGAAGACTGCATTTTAGGAATCAATGTACTAAAAGTACATTTGTTCTTTAACATACAGTATATAATTATATTGTTATCCTGTATTATGCTGCACTGAAATCTTTAGCAGTGTTCTCTGCCTGCCCAGTTTAGTTCTGAACTACAGAACTGCTCCCTCCCTCAACACACATCCGCAGACATATAATGTGGAGAGAGTGAGGTGTTCTGCAGTTCTAACACATTTACATTGCTGCTGCTCCCGGATCACCAGGTGAAAATAAAAGAAAGAAAAGTATATAAAAGGTAAAAAAGTGCTGCCACCACATCTTAACACTGGTATGCTGCAATTTACTTTAGCTTGTATATGTGGTAGGATTATTATATTGTATGCTGCTTTGGGGGCAGTGACTGATATCAGTTACTCTGCATGCCCTGTAAAGTACTGTGCAATATGTCATGTACATATAGAACATAGATTAAGAAAAATACATTTTAAAACCAGATACTCACTGCACAGTAGCTGAATACTTGGCAACAACTAATGCAAAAATCAAAATGTTTTAATTCTCCAGGGGTTAGACCAGGGGTGGGCAAACTTTTTGACTTGAGGGCCGCAATGGGTTCATATATTGGACCCGGGGGCCGGACCAAGAGTAGATGAATGATGTGTATGTGTCATCCATAGTAAGTATAGTAATATTCCCCCATAGTAAGCATAGTAATTAATCCCCCATATAGTAATTCATCCCCCATAGTAATTCATCCCCCATATAGTAATTCATCCCCCATATAGCAATTCGTCCCCCATATAGCAATTCGTCCCCCATATAGCAATTCATCCCCCAATATAGTAATTCATCCCCCATATAGTAATTCATCCCCCATAGTAATTCATCCCCCACATAGTAATTCATCCCCCATATAGTAATTCATCCCCCATAGTAATTCATCCCCCACATAGTAATTCATCCCCACATAGTAATTCATACCCCATATTAATTCATCCCCCCATATAGTAATTCATCCCCCATATAGTAAGTCCCCCATATAGTAAGTCCCCCCATATAGTAATTCATTCCCCATATAGTAAGTCCCCCATATAGTAATTCATTCCCCATATAGTAAGTCCCCCATATAGTAATTCATTCCCCATATAGTAAGTCCCCCATATAGTAATTCATTCCCCATAAAGTAAGTCCCCCATATAGTAATTCATTCCCCATATAGTAAGTCCCCCATATAGTAATTCATTCCCCATAAAGTAAGTCCCCCATATAGTAATTCATTCCCCATAAAGTAAGTCCCCCATATAGTAATTCATTCCCCATATAGTAAGTCCCCCATATAGTAATTCATTCCCCATATAGTAAGTCCCCCATATAGTATATCATTCCCCATATAGTAAGTCCCCCATATAGTAAGTCCTCCATATAGTAATTCATTCCCCATATAGTAAGTCCCCCATATAGTAATTCATTCCCCATATAGTAAGACCCCCATATAGTAATTCATCCCCCATATAGTAAGTCCCCCATATAGTAATTCATTCCCCATATAGTAAGTCCCCCCTATAGTAATTCATTCCCCATATAGTAAGTCCTCCATATAGTAATTCATTCCCCATATAGTAAGTCCCCCATATAGTAATTCATTCCCCATATAGTAAGTCCCCCATATAGTAATTCATTCCCCATATAGTAAGTCCCCCATATAGTAAGTCCCCCCTGTGTCAATTCACTTACCTTTGCTCCTCCGCGCGTTCCTCTCGTATTCCCGCGCCGTTCTGGTCTTCAGGGAGGACTGTGAGAGAAGAGTTCGTCACGCTGCCCCGCCTACATCCTGGCTGCCCCGCCTACATCCTGACAGCTGCAGAGTCCTGACGCCCGAGAGGAGGGAGGGGGCGGCCATCCTAGAGGGGGGGCGGCCATCCGAGAGGAGGGGAGGGGAGGAGGAGGAGAGGAGGTCGCCCGCCCGCCCGAGAGGAGGGAGGGGAGCGGGCGCGCCCGGCACACAGGAGAGCCGCATCTATTGTAAAGAGCCGCGGCTTGCCGACCACTGGCCTTGCGGGAGCCTAGCTCCGCGGGCCGGATTAAAAGGTCCGCCGGGCCGTATACGGCCCGCGGGCCGTAGTTTGCCCATTGCTGGGTTAGACAATAAAATAGCCTTTTTTTTTTTCGAAGGACGGGACTAATGGATAAATTCACTTTTTCTAACATGTTACCTGTAAACACCTGTATTCAGGATGTAACCTGTTACGTTAGTGCCGTAGCTGTCCTCGTAACCCCCCCCTGCCAATCCCCGGTGGGGACAGCAAACTCGGGATCTTCTCCGTGTCTGCTGCCACAGTTAAAAAAAAGATGTGATCGTGGGTGCAATGCTTTACAGGCTCTCAATAAAAAAAATAATAAATGCACATTCTTTTTACCTGGAAAAAAATGTGCCTTTATTTAATTTTTTTTTTAAAGGTGAACTTATCCTTTAAATGTATCCAAAACTGTGTAGTATACTAATAGTGTCAGTAATAATCTTCTGCCCTATCATTACTGTCCATTTTACCCTAGATGGAATTTTCATGATTTTTTAGAAAATTACTTCATCTTTTCTTCCCTTGTTTGTGTAGTGTGATTGGTTACAAAGAGTCCCCTTTTCAGTGGTAAAAGACCAGGTGCAAGTAAGCTTGTGCTTTTGTACAATCTGTAGTGCTTGCTTCTCACCTGACAATTGCTTGTCTGAGGTAAAAATGGGGCCTGAGCCTATTTCCTTCCTTGTAACCACATAACAATCAACAGACCCCAAGTGAGACCACGTGTTGGAAATGGGGTATATTCTCTTCTTACCCAGGAAGCTGGTGGCTTTGTAAGATACAAAGAATTGGCCTTTCTTTCTTCTACAGTGTATATTTGTTGTTTTTGCAGATGTCGGTGGTCCCCAGCAAGGCAAAGGATCTGAAATTTATGTCACAGCATGACACAGATGCAGATTCACCTGTGACACAGTAAGAAACATTGGTTAAAAGAATTCTTCTCATGTCTTTCAGGGGTGCCAAATAATATTCCCATGGAAAGTGCTTTATTATCTATGTAACAATGGATCTTGAACACTGCCAAAAAAAATCACTTAAGAACATTTTTTTTACTTGTATAACCTGTACTTTTTTTTTACTTCTGTTTATTTGCGTTCACTCATTGTTTTATGTATTTTATAAAATGTTTTTAAGTTTTGTAATGAGAAGCAATAAAATATTGTTTTACATTATTCTTTTGCGTTTGTCCAGTTCAGATAAAAAAAATGTCAAACCTATATCCTTTGACATTAATACTTAGTCACCACTCTTGCATGTCTTCTTTGTTGTATTTTTCCTGGCCATATCTACTGGAGAATTTGTAGTAGTAACACTGGCTCTTCTTGCCATTTGTTGGCAGTTAGGCAGTTAACAGAAAGCCTGTTTCCAATTGCATACCAAGAAAATTTGGCAGCCGAGGTGGATAATTTTTTTCTAGCACCATGACATCTCCCCTTTATATGTAGAAATGTGCCCAGTCACCTTGGTGGTCAATTTTAAAGTCTCCTGTTACATTGGTTTTAAGTGGTGATGTGCCTCCTTACATTTGTGGTCATTGTGAAAGTGCACGCTTAGATAGGTGGTCAATGGTGAAGTTCCCTCTTACATTGATAGTAGTGAACTGCCTCCTTTAATTAGTAGACCTTAATTAGTAGACCAGGGTGTCTAACCCATGGCCTATGTTGGCTATGAATCTGGCCCAACAGAAAATCATAAGCTTACTTAAAAATATTTTTTTTTAATGTAATTTTTTTGTAAAAATGTGTTTTAAACTTAGCGAACCTATGCAACCAAGGAAAAATTTGACAGTGTCTCTTTACTTGACTTTTATAAGTTGTATCTTACAAAAAAAAAATACCCCACTCTTCACAGTCACGCCTTATTCATGTCCATTTTCAGCAGCACCTATATTTGTGAGCAACTAACTTCAAGGATTAAGCACACGAAGGGTAAAATTAGAACCGTATCTGATGAGCACTTTGAGTATTCATTGAGCATTCCTTATACATTCATCGAACCAGATATTGATGCATTAGTTTATCATAAACACTGTCAAATTTTACAGTAGTTTTATGTTGCTTTCTTTTACTTTTATAATAAAAAATAATACAAAAAAATTAAGTTTTATTACTCAGATACATTATCTATATCAGTTATCATTAGCTTGTGATCTGCCTAAGGCTAGGTTCACACCTATGCAGGTTGCATTTGAGTCGTTTCTGCATTGCGTTTTTAAACATTTTTTTATGCGTTTTGCTGTGTTTTTTTTTTTATTGATTTTAAATTCTTGTTGCTAAGCAGATTTAAAACACAAAACGCAGCAAAAACGCAATACATGCTTTTCTGCAGCATGTCCATTGAAGTCTATAAAAAAAAAAACGCAACTTTTTGCGTTAAAAAAAGTCCCTGACCCTTTCCAAAAAACGTACAGGCTGAAAACGTACAGGTGTGAACATGTCCCATAGGAAATCATGTTAAATGGACTGTACTGCATTTCTGCAAAACACTGCAGAAAACACTTAGGTGTGAACCTAAGGTAACTTTTTCTGCTCATCAGCTATCCTTATTGTTATTGTATTTTATGTGTGGCCTAAGACATTTCTTCTTTTTCCAAGGAAAGTCAAGAGGTTGGACACGCCTGTAATAGACAGTAAAAAAAGTGCTTACAGTCAGTGGAAGAGTTCTTACACTGGTGGTCAGTTCAGTGAAAACGTGCTTATATCAGCTGGTCAGTGGAAAGCTCTCCCTTACATTGGGGGTCATTAAAAAAAAAAAAAAAAAAAACCCTTACATTAGTTAGTCATGACGTGCCCCCTTGCATTGATGCTCAGTAATAAAGTGCTGTGTTACATTGTCACTGTAGTTCCCTCTTATATTGATACTCAGTGGTGAAGAGTTCTCCCATATTGATTATCAGTGAGAGCTAAATAGATCATTGGTGTCATTGGTTACTTACCTGGTAGGAGAGAATACCCCATGCTGAGTTCTGCTTAGAGTTGGTTCCAAAACTATGCAGGCACTATGTGGCAAAAGATCTTTCCACCCAAATCAGATTTCAGTTTCTGTATTCAGATCATGGTTATACTGTGTGAATTCTAACTAGTTACTGTGCAGTTACTGCACTTTTACTGCTGAATAAGACCAAACATATTTTAGAAAGGGTTGAAGTGCCTAAAAAAATCTGGAACCCCCCCTCCTTCCATGGCAGTACATTGTCACGATGGTAACACTACACTGCTCTGGTGACAGTATGTAAAAATACAAAATTGTAAAAACATTTTTTTTACACACTGCCAGCAGAGCAAGTGCCGTGTCTCTTCAGCAACATTGTACTGCTGTGGGGGTGATAATGTACAATGGCTGGCTGCTCTTATACCAGAATGTTAGTACCACCATCCATTGTCTGTGATCACCACCACAGCAGTGCAATGTCACTGGACCACCAGAGGTACCAGTGACCGCAGTGTCCCTAATCACAACAACACCAGTGATAGTGTCTGTAATCATTCCTGCACCAGTCAGTGTCCCTGATCATGACCACACAAGTCAAAGTGTCCCTAATCACTGCCATATCAGTCACAGTGTCCTTAATCACCTCCACACCAGTCACAGTGAGCCTGATCACTGCCACACCAGTCCAGTATCCCTAATTACGGACCACCCAGTCCAATGTCCCTGATCACCGCCATACCAGTCCCACAGTGTCCCTGATCACCGCCACACCAGTCACAGGGTCCTAATCATGGCTGCACCAGTCATAACATCCCTGGTCACCACCATACCAGTATCCCTGATCACCACCACACCAGTCATGGTGTCACCATAAGGATTCATTCACACGTGTGGTGCTCTCTGAAGAGTCATCCATGTTCCAATCACTCTTTAGAGAGCATATGACAGGTAGTAAAGGTGGTGTTGCATCTCCTCCTCACCTTCTGCTTTAACCCGCTGGGACTCCACACAAGCCCCCCTTTCACTTGAATGGGTCACAATCAGCAGGGGTATGAGGAGGATAGATCCTGGCAACATGTGTACACCCCAGCTAAAAGGCAGCTAAAAGGGGGTAGCAGTTGAGGGGCAGTAAAAGATGCAGCTCAACCACAAGGTTGTATTGAACCCCAATCAGAAAAGCCAAAATGATGGAGCTCCAGGTGAGTGACTGACTATAACAGTTGTGAACTGGAGCTGCTGCATAGCTTATCTGTGAGATTCAGTATCATGCACAAATTCGGATTATTGCTGCACTCCTTGGTACAAAGACATCACAGGTATGACAGGAACATTAAAAAAGGTGATGTGTTTTGTGCTAAATTCAGCGCTTACTCAAGACTCATGTACACATACATCACACACACTATACATATATATATATATATATATATATATATATATATATATATATATATATATTATACATACATACAGTTGTGTTCAAAATAATAGCAGTCAGACATCACTAACCTGATCAATCACTGTTTTTGGTAGAAATGATATTTCTACAAGGCAAATAATTTACTAGCAGGTGTAGTAGAGTAATAGAAATCCAACAGACCCAACAGTCATGACATGCATGCTGCTGATTCTGTGCACTTGAATCACTAATTGAAATGGGCATGTTCAAAATAATAGCAGTGTGGAGTTCTATTAGTGAGGTCATTCATTCTTTGAAAAACAGGTGGCAATTATTGCCGTTATTTAAGGAAGGAAGGCAGCAAATGTTGTACATGCTGGTTACAGTGCATTTCTCTCTGAAATTCTGAGGAAAATGGGTCGTTCCAGACATTGTTCAGAAGAACAGCGTACCTTGATTAAACAGTTGATTGGAGAGGGGAAAACATATAAAGAAGTGTAGAAAATGATAGGCTGCTCATCTAAAATGATCGCAAATGCTTTAAAATGGCAACCAAAGCCTGAAAGACATGGAAGAAAGCGAAAAACTACTATTCGTCGAATGGATAGAAAAATAGCCAAAATGGCAAGGACTCAGCCAACAATCAGCTCAGGAAGATCAAAGAAGGTCTAAAGTTACCTGTGAGTACTGTTACAATTAGAAGACGCCTATGTGAAGCCAAGCTATCTGCAAGAAGCCCCCGCAAAGTCCCACTGTTGAAAAAAAGACGTGCTGAAGAGGTTACAATTTGCCAAAGAGCACATTGACTGGCCTAAAGAGAAATGGCGCAACATTTTGTGGACTGATGAAAGTAAGATTGTTCTTTTTGGGTCTAGTGGCCGGAGACAGTTTGTCAGATGACCCCCAAACACTGAATTCAAGCCACAGTACACTGTGAAGACAGTGAAGCATGGTTGCGCAAGTATCATGATATGGGGATGTTTCTCAACACTACGGTGTTGCGCCTTTTTATCGCATACCAGGGATCATGGATCAATTTGAATACATCACAATACTTAAAGAGGTCATGCTGCCTTATGCTGAAGAGGAAATGCCCTTGAAATGGGTGTTCCAACAAGACAACGACCCCAAACACGCCAGTAAACGTGCAACATCTTGGTTTCAGACCAACAAGATTGACGTTATGGAGTGTCCAGCCCAATCCCCAGATCTTAATCCAATAGAAACCTTGTGGGGTAACATCAAAAATGCAGTTTCTGAGGCAAAACCAAGAAATAGAGAAAAACTGTGGAACGTAGTGCAATCATCCTGGGCTGGAATACCTGTTCACAGGTGCGAGAAGTTGGTTGACTCCATGCAACACAGATGTACAGCAGTTCTCAGAAACAGTGCTTATACAACTAAATATTAATTAAGTGATTCAAAGGAAAGCAAAATCTTCAAACATTTTTAAGTTTATATAGTGAATGTTTGAGTTTGTACAGAAGAATACAAACACTGCTATTTTTTTTGAACAGTCTAATATTCAATTTTCTTCAATTTTTTTAGAGGAACAACACAAATTTGATATATTTTTCTTCAT